ACTATATTCAAGAGGTTGATACCAAACACCCAAATTCCAATTTATTTATATACTATGAGAAGTATATCAGAAAACCCACAGATTCTTGTATCTTCGTTCCTGGCACATTCCCTTCCTCTAATAAAACTACTTGAATTGCCAAATAATCAAACTTCAGCACATTTATTCTTACCTTAAGCAGAACTTATGCAGCTCAGATAAAGTTAAAGAACTAACAAGGAACCAGGAGAGACATTAGACAAATCAAAATTCAACAGCATTTGAATCTATCTCAGAGTTATATATTTATCTCCTAATTGGGCCTGGCCTGGCCAAGGGAGCCAGGGAGACTTTCCTTTCTGGACAGAGTGCAATGATTTGAATATTTATGTCCTTCCAAAATTCATGTTGAAATTTAATTCCCAATATAACCGTATTAAGAGTTGAAGCCTCTTAATTATGAGATTGGGCCATGAGGGTTCCATCCTCATGGATGAGATTAGTGTCCTAATAAAAGCACTTGAGGGAGCAAGTTTGTCCCTTCAGCTCTTCTGCCACATGTGGACACAGTGTTTGTCCCTTCTGCCGTGTGAGGACACAGCAATAGATGCCATGTTTGAAGCAGAGAGCCCTCACCAGATACCACATCTGTTGATGTCTTGATCTTGCTCCCAGCCTCTAGAACGGTAAGACATAAATGGCTGTTATTATAAATTACCCAGTTCAGGGTATTTTGTTAGAGCAGCTAGAACAGACTGAGAGACAGGGCTTTAAATGCCTTTTCTCAAGAATCCAAGGATAACCAAACCCTCTTATGAATGGCACAGACTTGTTTTCAGATATCTTGTGATTTTTGTCTTCCATTTTGTTGTTAATTCCTCCTGCTCCTTTGTAGATTTAACTTTTCTTTCTGATCAATTTTAGAATCTTTGTCTTTGGTATTCTACAATTTCACTATAATGTACTTAGAAATGGATTTCTTTTTATTTACCTTCCTTGAAATATATTGTACTGATTCTATTTGTGAATCCATATCTTTCATCAGTTCTGGAAAAATTTTTAGCTATTATAATTTTGGATATTGTACATCTATTCTCTGTATTTCCACTTTCTGAAACTTTAATTTTATATACTATATACCTTCTCATTCTCATCTCCATTCCACATGAATTTTTTCATATCTTTATCTTATTGTGCTGTACTGTGGGTAAATTTTCTGATCTATCCTCCCAGCCACTAATTCTTTCTTTAGCTATATCTATTTAATCTAAATAGTTTTTAGTAGCTGTATCCATTTAATCTAAATAGTTTTTAGTTTCAATTATATATTTCACACTTAAAAGTTATATTTGATTTTAAAACACATGGTCATTCTATAGTCTCTTCTTGTTGACTCACATTTCCACCTCTTATAAGGAAATATTAAATATGTAAATATTTTAACCAGCTATATTATATTTTGTAACCAGTAATTTCTATACCTGTAGTCCAGTTACCTTTTAGGTCTGGAATCATTTAAATGATAATCATGCCTGAGCACAGAAAAAAACAAAGTCACTGTGCAAACCATAAATAACCAACCTCTTCTTGTAGCTAACATGAGTAACTGTTGCTTCTTTTTTTTTTCTCCCACCCACAACATAAAAATTAAGATACCCAATTGAAAAATCACTCCCACTTTCTGACAGCACTCAATCCAGAAGAAACCCTCACTCACTTGAGCCCTCCTTAAAATCAGCTACATGTGCTAAAATTCTTAGCAAGCCCCTTCTTACACCTTCCCACTGAGAAGCACCTATACAGCCCAATGGTGTGCAGTCTCTCTTGCTGCAGCAAGCATTAGTAAAACTAATTTTGACTACAATTATGCCCTGGTGATCTCTGATGACATCAACAAATGATGAGCATCAACAAATGCTTCCTGCAGAATTTTCTACCATCACTTCCCCCGCAGTCTTAAGTTCAAAGTTTGGATTATCTCTTTTTGATGAAGATCCAAGCCCCAGAGCTTTCTCTTGTGCCCGGAATATTGCAGGCTCATAATTAGGTGAGGAAAGAATGAATGTTTTTCTACTTACATATTTCTATAAATATTTTAGAGGGAAATTAGAAGATGATGATTCAGTAGTTTGTATTGGGCCTACTTGTCTTTATTTTTTTTAACTGTCTAATCTTCACTAATTTCTGTACATCAGGATCTGTAATTGTCATTTTTGTATCAATAAAAATACCTCTAACATTTCTATTGAAAAATATTGATTACAAAATAAAATGAATATAACTTGGCTAATGCTCACAACTATGTAAAAAATTGCATTGGAGAGACGGAAAAGAAACCCATGAAAACACTGGCAGCAGTTACCTTTAGGTGACAGAGCTGTGGGTGAATATTATTCTTCCCTATATTTTCTGTATTTTCCAGATTTTCCGAAGTCAGTATGATTGCATTTTAACAATGGTTAAAACTATTGATTTGCAAATTCATGGGAGAAAAAAACCTATGCCTAGAAATTGGTCTCTAAAACATTTCTCATAGTAGAGAGGCTCAAATGTCATGAATGTGTGAATACCAAGTCAAAACACAGTTCTGTAACACGTTCAAGCCACGTTACCCTAGAGGTTAACTGCTCAGCAGAATCTCACAAAGAGTCAAAGTCAGAGGGCAAAGCCATTAATGTGAAGAAACAGTGAAACCATAAAAAAGAAGAGTCAGGACAAGAAATACCTGAAGCAAAATGACACAAAATGAATGTACTATAAATTATGGATGGAAGTATCAGGGTGAGGAAATCAGACTATAACCAAGCTTGGGCATGCCTGTTGTACCTCTTTGTCACTTAATTAACTCAGGCTTTCCACTGCCAACAGTCTTCTCACACAGTGGGTACTCTAAATAATATCACCACTCCTTTCAACCACAGTTGATCAATAGAATGCAAATAAAAAGACTGTACTTAATCACTATTGGAGAAGAAATGAATAAGTGCATTCATTTCTATTTGTTTATGCTAAATTGTAAACTAAAATTCTTAATTCAACCATGGTCTTATTTAATATATAGAGTGGATGGTTTCCTGTTTTTACGCCCCTACCTTAAACCCCAATCCATTTCCCCTTCCTAACAGCAACCTGAATTTCCAACCCTCCCACAACTGTTAGCTGTATGCGTTGCATGATATTTACTTCACACTCAAACACAAGATATCCTAGGGAAGAACTAATAATTAAAACTCAATCATATTCCATGATGAGATGTGTCTAGGACGTCTGGAAAAGATAAGCTCTTCTAATCTGTTTTTGCCCTGGATGGAAGATCTGAGGATGTAAGTGTGGAATTATCACATTTTGTTAAGAACCTGGCATTACAGGAGAGGTTTTTTATTTGTTTATTTAAGACAAGGTCTTGCTTTGTTGCCCAGGCTGGACTGCAGTGATGTGATCATGGCTCACTGCAGCCTTGACTTTCTGGGCTCAAGTGATCCTCCCACCCCAGCCTCCTGAGTATCTGGGACTACAGGCATGTGGCACCACACCCAGCTAATAATCTGTTTTTAAATTTTTTTCTGTAGAGACAAGGTCTTACTATATTGCCCAAGCTGATCTCAAACTCCTGGGCTCAAGCTGTCCTCCCAACTCAGCCTCCCAAAGTGTTCTGATTACAGGTGTGAGCCACTGTGCCCAGCCAAGAGTTCTATAGAGTGTGAGGGCAAAACCAGCACCAGGGGAGGCAGAGTGGAGATGAGTCCTTGCTGACATTGTGTGAGCTGCTTGATCTAGACTGATCAAAGCTAGAGCTACCTCTAATTTTCTTAGTTATGTCATTCAAAAGTTTTTCTTTGCTGCTTAAGTCACCTGAAGTTAGATTTCTGTCACATGTATCTGTTAAATTCCTGATTAATATTAATATATAAATAAAACCTTCTAACTCAGTGAGTTTATTCTGAACTGACAACTACATATGTATTTTGGTAAAGAAATACACAGGTGTGTTCACTTGTATAATAGCTCACTAAGCAACACATGTATAATCTGCCTATTCTACCATATGGACATTATGCTTCTGTTAAGAAGTGCTTACATTCATAACGTCAGGTTCACGAAACGGGGCAGGGAGAAGAAATGATGTTGTATATGTTGAGCCATCCATATGCAAATCATGCTGCTCTCTAATAAAAATAAAGCTTATTATAAATAGTCCATCAGATCAGAGTTCCAGGTTCAGCTGAGGACGAAATCTATTCTAAAGCTCCTTGCACCCTGGAGGCAACTCAATGAATACTTGTCTTCAAATAAGTAAACCTTGGGATTTGTTGTTGAAACTTTAAAGAAAAACATGAATTATGCACAGGGGACTTATAATCTATTAGGTAAGCAAGATAAAGATAGGACCATCATAGGTGTAATTCTAAAAGTGAGAATTTTAGTGGAAAAGCAAGTTATGGTTAAAATGGATGAGATGAAATTGGATCTGCCATTAGGATAAAAAGGAATTCATGTGCCAGAGCTAGGAAACTCTTACGTGAAAAAAGATCCCACAAAACCCCAAAATCATAGTTTGTGTTAGTGGCAGAGAATCTTTCATAAATGTCTAAAGAACAAAACACAGTTTGTATTATGCTCAAACTAAGGCATTTTATTAGCTGGCTTTAAAACTTAAATAATATCTTGGCTATCAAAGGAACAGCTTCCACTAATTCCAAATTAAACTTTCACAAGTTTACTTTTTTGGGGAGGGACATTCTTATGCTCACCACAAAATACCTTTATTATAACCTTCCCCAAATCTTTTCTTAAACTTTAAAAAAAAAAAAAAAAAAAAAAAAAAAAAAAAAAAAAAAAAAAAAAAAAAAAAAAAAAGGCTTAGGTCAAATATCAACTGCCTGAAAAACCCAATTAAGTCACTTTTCCTTAAAACATGTGCAGTACAATTGAATCAAAAGAGAAAACTGCAAATACATTGTGCTTTGGCTGGAAGTAGAGTTCATTTCATGATGATTCAGTATCTTCGGATACTATTTTTTACACTTGACATAAATCTCAGCAAAGTAAATTAATTTACTAACATTTCCAAGGAAAAGTTGTTTTTAATACTAGCCTTTCTTTGCCAGTTGGCAACTTAGAATTTTTGCAGAAGTGATTATTAATACTTCTTTGCAGCTAATTTTAGCTTTAATTTTTCTCTCTCATCTAAAAAAATATCAATGGTACATTGTTCCTTTGACTTAATAACTGGATTCTTTGAAACAGAAGTTGGCTATTTCACTGTATCCGGAAACATGGTAGAAATTCTGACCCATCATTCTTTTATCTGTTGAAAAAACAAACAAACAAAAAGATATTTGCTATAATTTAATCAATCACATTATAAGAACAAAGGGAAAATTACAGTGAGAGAATTATTATGTCAAGAGGAAATCTTTTTCTTTCTCTGGCAAATTTCTTCCTTTCTAGTCATGCTATTTCTGTAATTTACTATAATCTCTCCATTATTCTCCACAAACTATCTTATTTTTAGAATGCTCTTTTAGAAAGAATGCTTTGATAGATTAGATGTGAAGTTGATGACAACGATATCATCTACCAATACTGGATGCTCTGTATGTGCCAACTACTGTGCCAAGTGCTTTGTATGTTACCATTTCATTTCACAGCAACTCTAGGAAGTAGATTCTATTATCCTATTTTTATACTGAAGGAGGCAAATTGAAGGAGACATGCAATTATGCCGCTAAAAGTTGGTGGAGCAAGAACACAAATGGGCAGTTTGCATGAAAGCTGTTCTCTTCACCTCCACCCCACACCACCTTCCATATGTATTTTACATAAATTATGTTTATGGAGTTTCTTAGTGCAATTCGGTTTTAGCAACTTAAAAGAAAGATTTTTCATATGTGTAACTCGCTTTTGATGCAACTTAAAGCTTATGGTATATCCAATTAAATGAACCAGTTTTAGGCAGAAAACAATCACGTGGGGTAATGAAGTACCCTTTAAAATATATGATGTTCATAAGATTCATGTTAATTATGATAGTGTAGAAGAAATTAAATCATTGAAATTTTCTGCTTCATTTCTGGCTATTTCCTCCAGCACCTTGCATTTATATAATAGATACGTTGCAGAAACATTATGTTAAATTTGTTAAATAAATCACTCAAATACAATGAGAGCCAGTTTTTTGAAGAAAGTAATTTTTTTTTTTTTTTGAGATGGAGTTTTGCTTTTGTTGCCCAGGCTGGAGTGCAGTGGCGTGATCTCGGCTCACTGCAACCTCCGTCTCCCAGGCTCAAGTGATTCTCCTGCGTCAGACTCCCAAGTAGCTGGGATTACAGGCATGCACCACCACACCTGGCTAATTTTGTATTTTTAGTAGAAACGGGGTTTCTCCATGTTGGTCAGACTGGTCTAGAACTCTCTGAACACCTCAGGCAATCCACCCGCCTCAGCCTCCAGAAGTGCTGGGATTACAGGCGTGAGCCACCGTGCCAGGAACAAAAAAAATTTAATGAAGGCTTTTCTATTAAACAAAATCACTACCCCAATTCATTTGACTCCTAAAGGCAGTACTCATTTAATTTTGAGCAATATCACTGTTGGGAATATAATCTGAAAGTCTCACTATGAGAAAGTATAAAACCAAACATTTTCTTCCCATCATTCTTTTAATTTTTAAATATGAATTCTAATTCCTTGTTCTAATAGCATAACTGTGTTACGTTTAAGCCATAAAATCTCACTGAAGATTTTACCATCTTCCAAATGTAACTCTCTCTCTCAAAAAAACCACTACAACCTAAAATGCTGAAGGCCTCTCCTCATCAATGCTCTTCTTTCATTCCTAAAAGGTAAAAAAGAAAAGACATCCTAACTATGGATATATAATGAGTCACTTGAAAATAAAATACCTCAGTGACCACACCAGCAGCTATTGTAGAACCACCGTAACGTAGCATAAACCTCCCCAGTTCTTTAAAGTCTTTATACAGCTCAAGAGCTATTGGTCTTTGTGTCTGTAGCTCCACCAATGCATTCTGGCCTTTAGTCAAAAACCTATTAAGTAAAACAAAAAGAACAAATAAATATATGATAGAGGTGAATATATGTAATAATAACAATCTGAAAAACAAATATTTCACAATCAACCAACCCATCAACGGAGTCTTTCAAAAACAGAGAAAAGGTTTTTTTTGAATGAAAATGTATGTCTTTGGACTTTCTGCTTTAGTTGAAAGAAATGAGGAGTAATTCTAGATTTAAGAACTACATCAGGTAGTTCATTTGTACCAATCTTCCAAATATAACTCTATCCCTTACAGGACCACTATAGCCTAAAATTCTTCAGGCCCCTCCTCATGAACGAAATGTTTTTTCTTTCATTCCCTCAAGAAATTGAGTTCAATTATGTAATAAAGAAAGTTATACTACGGCTTATTTCTATAAAGAAGTATTTGCAAAGAGGAATATAATACCCTGTATCTTTCCTAGTAAAAATGTAATTTGTGGAATGTATATTAGGAAGTTATCTGTAAAGAGGACAATCAATCTCTTGGTGCCAAGACTTCTCTCTCTCTCTCTCTCCTTCCCCACACAGGAATAAAAGTTCCTTAGCAGGAATTCAGGATAAAAATCACATAAGTAGCTTTTCCACAATACAAAACTTGTAAAAAATGAAAGGAGACAGGGCATGGGCCAGACTGTAGATGGCTTCACACAAATAAGTAAACAGAAATCTCTACACTAGTCCCTGCACAGACTTAGTGAGAGAGGCAGAACCTAAAAAGGCCATTTTGGAATTGTTTTCTAATTTAATTTTGATATACTCTAGAAGGATAGAGGACAGAAATAATAAACTCTCCTTTTGAAAAATTAGTTCAGGGACAGACAGAATAAATCAAAGAAGTTTCTAAAAAAAATACACCAAAAATTCCAAGTATTCATTTTGGATGATTTCAGCCTTAAGTTCATTCCTTAGGAAGGAGAGTGTCTAATATATACATGGCTTGTTTCGAATTTAGTTTCTAGAAAATTAAATTCCATTTTTCATAAAGCAATCAAGAGTCTACTATGTGCCTGAACAGGAATAAAAGGGAAAGGCCAAATGGTTGTGCAAAATAAAAGGATAAAGCTACAAATAAGGTGACAGGAAACACAAACACAAGACTTCGTTAAACCCTACCATCACTGAGCTAGGACTCTGTAGCAGGAGCATGGAGGAAAAGACTCAGGATTATATATGATGAGCCAATTTCAGATTGAAAATTCTGCAAAGCAATTGTCTGGGTCAAACAGCCTGGCTCCTGAACAAAAGAATATAATTTATGTAAACCAATTGACTAGGTTAGAATCCTGCCTTTACCACGTGAGCTTTGTGACACTTGCTAGATGCTTCACAAGATTGCTAAGAATTTACACCTTGTGAAAGCGTTCACAATAGAGCCTAAAAAATAGTGGTCCTCAAGTAATGTTAGTCATATAGTTATATCGTGTTTCTCAAAATATTATGGCAAACATTCATGCCAGAAGCTAAAGAGGTTAAATATAAAGATCTACCTTTAGGAGAGAGGTAAAGTAGCCCTTTCCTCTTAACAGAGAACAGGCAAGGGTTTAGAGCAATGCGAGATTTTCCCTTCCACCTGCAGCCAGCCTATTAACCCACCAACCGTGTTTGGCCTCTTCTGCAGGTGTAAAAAAGATGAGGAACACCAAGGACAGAAAAAGGGGGATTTGGGATGTTATTCCCCATACGATAAAGTTGGAAGGAAAACCCCGAAGCTAAAGCAGCCAAGCCAAACTGCAATTAGCTTTAACTTGGATTTGGGTAAGAAATTTTTTTTTTTTTTTTTTTTTTAAGATGGAGTTTAACTGTTTCACCCAGGCTGGAGTGCAGTGGTGCGATCGTGGCTCACTGCAACCTCCGCCACCCCGGTTCAAGCAATTCTTCTGCCTCAGCCTCCTGAGTAGCTGGGATTACAGCTGCCCGCCAGCATGCCCAACTAATTTTTGTGTTTTTAGTAGAGACGGAGTTTTGCCATGTTGACCAGACTGGTCTCGAACTCTGCACCTCAGGTAATCTGCCTGCCTTGGACTCCCAAAGTGCTAGGATTACAGGCACGAGCCACCGCACGCAGCCAAGAAATCTATTTTGTAATATTCATCTCTAGTCTTGTATTTTGTTTTTATTTACAGTACTCAGTTTCTGAGGAAGTACTTCCTTTGAAAAATCCCAATCTTGTCCTAGCCAAAGGGGAAGTGTCACACGTAGGCCTGGACATTAATGGTAATCAGCAGGCCCAAGAGAATGGTGTTCACCACAACTTAAGGCTCCAGATGGACTTCGAGCAAAAAAAAAACCAAAAAACAAAAACCTTTCTACATGGGAAAAGAGCAGGCACTACAGAGTGTGTAGATGATTTTCTTCTTAGCATAGGGAATGATCTTATTAAGCAGGTGACAAGAAAGTTAAACATACAGTTGAAATTTGGAACCAGTGTCTAGACATAGCTCAAATTCATCTTTAAAAATGTAGGTCTGGTTTTTGAAATGCCCTTATTTTCACATCATCAATATCTACAGCTTAAAATGTACATACATATATGTTTACATTTACGTTTATTGATAATTCACATCCTCCACCACCATACATAACAGATATTTATATCTAGCATTCATATCTAAACAAGAGCTTAAATACTTGTTTGTTTTTGTTTAATTCAGTCCTTGAAGAAAAATAATTTCTGGAACAAGCAAAAATGGGTTTCACTTACCACAAACAGAAATAGTATACAAATGAGTTGATCTTTAAAAAATGTGTTTAAATTGTTTGTTTATCATTTCTGCATTAAAACACTCACTTAGGCTTTTTCTTTGTGACTTCACCCGTGCTTTTGTTTAAGACACTAATCAATCGTTTAATAACGGCGGGTTCACTGACAGTTTGGTAGTGTAACAGCACCTAAAACAAAAAATTATAACACTAAAAATCTGCTTCCACAGCATCTCTGGCCTTTTCTTTTGGCACTTACACTTAATTATCTTCAATTCAGCACTACTGCTTGGAGTCTTTCAGGATCTCCAGTTGCTTTCTCCAGGGCGCACCACTCTAATCAGGTGGTTACTTAACTTACTTAGAGGGAAAAAAGTCATGAGAATTTCAAATTTCTACTCCACCAATTACTGCATCAACTTTAGTTCAGTGAATAGCCTGCCAGCTTTTTTCCTCTGTAACAATGGAGGGTAACAACATCTTAGGGCTGTCATAAAGATTAAGTAAGAGAATCCGTCATATAGAACAAATGTTGTAGTTGATGTCATTTTTATCATTATAAGCAGCAGTAGGGAAAGAACCTGGGATTGAATCTCAACTCTTTCTCTTCTGTCTGTACCTCAGTTTCCTCAAGTGTAAAATAAGTAAGCTTTTATAGCATTGTGATGAAAATTAAATAGAATCAGACCCAGTGCCTGCCATGGCAGATGTTCAACAAATATGACTTGTCTCATCATAAAAGTTAAGAGAGGGGAATTATATCATATTCACAGTAATTAATGTATTCATTGTTGGACAAGAATAAAATAAATATAGAGGTAAAGAGGAAGGAAAATAACATTTTTAAGTATATTGGGTACAAGCATTGTATGATATGACTTATATGTACTATGTAATTAATGTGGTAGCTTAGTAGGCCCTGAAGTCAGAGAGACCTGGGTTTAAATCACCTCTATTTGTGTAAACTTTGGGGCAAGTTCTTTTTCTTTTTTTTGAAACAGAGTTTCACTCTGTCGCCCAGGCTGGAGTGCAGTGGCGCAATCTTGGCTCACTGCAACCTTCACCTCCCAGGTTCAGGCAATTCTCCTGCCTCAGCCCCTCGAGCAGCTGGGATTACAGGTGCACGCCACCACGTCCAGCTAGGTTTTGTATTTTTAGTAGAGACAGGGTTTCACCATGTTGGCCAGGCTGGTCTCTAACTCCTGACCTCAGGTGATCTGCTTGCCTCGGCTTCCCAAACTGCTGGCATTACAGGCATGAGCCACTGCGCCTGGCCTGGGGCAAGTTCTTTAACAATCCTCTACCCACAAAATCCCCAGCCTCCAGTTCCTTATAACTGAAAAGAGGAAAATCAGATAATGTTATTTTAAAGTGGTGCCTGGCACACGGTAAGCATTCATTTAACTGATGGCCTTTTATATAAGCTATTATTTCCATATTTTATATGTAAGGAAAATTAAAATAAAAAAGATCAAGGGATTTAATGTGTCCATGATGCTATGTATAGAGCTGAATTTAGGCTTACGTCCGTTGAAACTACAAATTCAAAGCTCTTCCCACTTGAGGCCTCTTCTATAGGCCTCTTACAAGGAGGCCTACAGAAATCATATAAATGGAACATTTCACTTTATGAAAGATAAAGCTAAGCTTTGGATATGCCCTAATCCAAACCAGAATATAGTTAGACTGAGTATCCTCACTCAGTAAGTGTGCAGGCCGGGCGCGGTGGCTCACACCTGTAAATCTCAGCTCTTTTGGAGGCTGAGGTGGGTGGATCACAACGTCAGAAGTTCAAGACCACCCTTGCCAAGATGGTGAAACCCTGTCTCTATTAAAAATACAAAAATTAGCCAGGCATAGTGGCAGCTGCCTGTAATCCCAGCTACTTGGGAGGCTGAGGCAGAGAATTGCTCAAACCTAGGAGGCGGAGGTTTCAGTGAGCCAAGATCGCGCCACTGTACTCCAGCCTGGGCGACAGAGCAAGATTCCATCTCAAAAA